AGCGGTTGGTCATTTCAAATGGTCACCCCATTCGGAAAGGAGAGAGTCCAACAGAAAAACAATACAGAAGGGGGACTACAAACCTGTAATAACTTCATACAAACTGTATTAAATAGGCTAGGAGTCTTTAGACTAGAAAAGAGGTAACCAAGCTGATATACTAAATACATACGGAGTTACAATAATATGGGGAAAGTGACTTAAAAATCATATCTAGTACTTTCTCATAGCACAAGGATGACAGAGCATTCAATGAGATGATCACGAAGCATACCTGAAACAAAACAAATTAGTTGTTTTTCAATCACTTTACAAATTAATTGTGGAACTCACTACTACAAAATATGATAGCAGCCAAAATTACCAATAGTTTCAAAAACAGATCAAATTTACACATAGAGGTTGGTCTATCAGTAGACAGGCCAGATGCAGGGAGCCTTTCAGTACAGGAATTGTCTGAACTCTTTAATCYAAAGGATATTCCCTATCTCTTCCACTTCTTAAACCATTTTACTTCTTACACTAAACTAAGATGGCTTAAAGTAAACTAACTAACTAAACTTAAACTAAACTAAGATGGCTGTTGTTGATGTTCATTGTAATGGAGAGAATATAAACAACATGCTTTGGTACCCTGTATTCTTATGAAGCCAAATTTTCTGTGGCCAATTCTGTGTTCTTTTGAAAAAAAAACATTTCTAACAATTTTATCAGTAACGTGAGATGAAAAATCTCCACATASAGCATCAATTCTATAACAGTAGTCAACTGAGTTTCATAAAGATGAAACATCTGTCCGAACACATGAACATTTTAGAACAACATGCTACATAAAACTTTAAAAAAATATAATCAATAGCAGAGATTTATTAGACCCTTCTTTAAGTAACTGCACAGTTTTCACTGGCCGTGTTCAGCCCAAGTCTTCTACCACACACACTCTAACAGTCTCTACTGTTTCTTCATTGATCAAACAGAAACCATACCCCACTACAAGGATGCAGTAAATGGCACTGAGGGCATGCTAGATGAAAAGCATCACAATTCTCAGGAGAATTACATTAGCACTTAATATAATTTTCCCTCAAGGCTGATTATGCCTTTTAACTTCCAACACCAGGCCATCGAAGGAGGTTCTTAGCTTCATTAGGGCAGTTACACTCTGAACTCTAGTAGCAAAAGACAATGTTGACCTACACAATTTCAAGAGCTGAATCAGATTGCTGGCAGCAGCAGAGCACACAAATGGGGGGAATCGCCCAGGGGTTGGCATTGGCAGCCACGAAATTCTGAATAATCCCAAATACTCATTCCCTGTATCAACAGAGCGGGCACCTGCTTTACACTTCCAGGGTCAGCCAGGAGCTTGATTACTTCAGCTAAAGTATAAATTTTAGCACATATTTTACTTCAGCTACAATCACTCAGCCTCAGTGTTCTTCTATTTTGTACAAAATATCCAGAAGCTTTTTCTAAAAGTTTGCAGAAACTCACTCTGCTTAAAGCCTTCAACAAAAGGCTGATGTGCCCAAATCCACTCTCTTATGGGAAACTACTTGTTTTGCATTATTGAACATATGATATTTTTTAGGTGCCTGTCACCTGTTTTCTAATTTGTCCCTGACTTGGTCTCCGGCCTTCTTAAGCCCTGTAATAAACTAGTGACAAGATTTTGTATCATTCATTTTACAAACATTCCCTGAGGTAACAAAAATTATGTAAGCAACATCATTTAAAAGGAAAACACTAATCCACTATAATCCTCATAGGCAGAGAAAGAGTAAGTGAGAATGTGCCTCTGTCAGTAGTGATATATTTAGGTAACCACAAGAATGAGGATGCAATCACATTATACATAAATATGTACTAGAAATACTATCTTCATTGTGGATTCTAGACTTAGTACTGAACATATTCACAAATASAAATAAAGGTGAGCACCAGGCTCTAATTAACTGATTAAATTAATGTAATATAATGTAACTTTTCTAAAACAGAACTTTGTTACCATTGAAATACTTGAATTTAAGGCATCTTTAACAGCTTTACAGAATTTGTGCTAGCCACCTAACAGATATCTGCTCAAAGTGTTCACGGTCTAATCTGCAGAGGAACGATATAATCCAGTTTTTATGTCCAGATGTTGAATGAACTCCTGAACTTCTAAAGTTCCCYCTTTCAAAATCAGTACATTTAATTATCTGAATCCCAGATTATATAGGCCACCAACTGAATCTAGCCTATCAGGACAATTAATGTGGCTTATTGCCTTTTCTCCCTCTTTTTGTAGGACACACGGTTCTTTCCTACTCCTCATCTAGAACAGCCCTCCTTACATGACCAAAAAGCATTTTTTCCTACTACATGATGTACATGAATCCAATCATTTCTAGAGTAACAAAAGCAAGAACAAAAATCCTCACAATATTTTATTGTGAAACTGGAAATTAATATATCATAAGCATTTTCAGTCACAGAACATGCTTATAACATGACCAAAAATACAGGCATCCTCACACAGGTATGTGACTAAAGATGCCCAAAATTTAATACTTACTCACATTTTAACTAAGTGAAATAAATGTATGTCTGATTGCTCCCAGATGGAGGTTACTGTAGTACTTGTAAGTGCCTCTGAGAAGACCTGTGCCTTATTGCAGCTAGATGGTGGCTAAAAATAATAGCAACTACTGCATCTGTCCTGGGGCCAAGTCCAAAGACAGTGTTAAAATATATAGGCCAAGGCAAACTTGTAGAGAGACCCATAGTCACTGCTAGATCAAGAATTACAGCCAGAAATTAGAGGACTTAAAAAAAAAAAAAAAAAAAGAGAGAGAAATAACATAACAAAATGGCATGAAATTTCATGTCATATAATAATTGTTATTCCAGATGAGTCATGGGAAAGAACTGACCTAGAAAAAGAGAGAAAGAAAAGTCATGGGCCACTTTTTTTTCAAAGAAATTAGATGAATAGGATCATGGTAATGTCACTCACTACATCAGAAAAAGCGGCACTTATAATGAAATAACCTACTATTAATAGTTAAGATTTACCTCTCTAACAGAACCCACTCAAAGTCTCTCAGTGCTTTAGGCAAAACTGAATTTTGCCATCCCATAGGCAGTAACTAACYTCGTACACAGCAGTTTTGACAGATCAAGGACAGGGAATGGAATCAGTGCCCCCCGGTGGCTGCTCGGGAGCCAATGCAACGAGGTGAGCAGGCTCCAAGGGGGGACACTTCAAACTGTCTAGTCAATGCTGGAAATATCGGAAATATTACAAAAAGCTGAARAGCTATTTTCATAGGCAATAAAAGTAAGTGGGTATAACCTACACTCTCAGAGACAAATGTATTAATCAAAGAATTAATGTGGGAGAGATTTAATTTTCAGCTTTACAAGTAAGTTGTAATGCACTAGAATTAAACTATTTTTCAGCAAAATACCATAGCTGAAATTCCTCTCAGTCCAATCAGTTTCTTCCAAATCTGGTTTTCATTTAAAATAAGAATCAGATTTATCACTTTCCATGTGAATGCAGACAAACCTTCCTAAATCTGAATCAGTGTGGGGTTTTTTGAGGCTCAGTTACATATGATCTCAGTTACGGGTCTTCCAGTCACCAATGTGAAAAGAGGGAGCCATATCCTTCTGATGGAGGATGGAATTTTCTGCATAGTGACTAATTTTTAATGAATGGCTCGCATAATATCATTTGTCCTTGTAGAGGCACATAGCACTGAGGCAGGCTAATCAATTTATAACAAAAAAAAAGGGGGGTTGGAATGTGCTTTGTAACTCTTCAAAAGTATCATTTCTATGTATCAGGAGACATGAAGGCCTGATTTGAAGATGCTGATGTTGCTTGTTCGTATTCCCAGGAGAACTGAGACTAGTGCGAACGCAAAGCAACACATCACTGAGGTAAAATGCTGGTGTGACATTCCTGGTTCATATTTGTGTCTTTTTTTCTCTTTAAGGTGATAAATCTATATTGCACTTGGGCAGAGCAGCGGCGGGAGGCCTGGGCGGCAGAGAAGGGTCTGGGGCTGCTGCTCAACGGCAGGTTGAACATGGGCCAGCAGTGAGTGGGCCCTGGTGGCCTGGAGGTCAACGGGCCCCTGGCTCCTATGCGGATCTGTGTGGCTTCTATGGGGATYTGCAGCAGCAGGGAGGCCACCGGCGCCCTGCGCTCGGCACTGGGGAGGCCGCTCCTACAACACTGTGCCCCGTTGGGGCCCTCACTGCATGGAGGACATGGAGGGGCTGGAGCGTGTCCAGAGGAGGGCAGCGAAGCTGGTGCAGGGGCTGGAGCAGAGACCTTGTGAGGAGCGGCTGGAGGAGCCGGGGCTGTTTAGTGTGGAGGAGGCTCCGGGGAGACCTTATYGCTCCCCACAACGACCTGGAAGGAGGTTGCAGGGAGGCCAGGGTCGATCTCTTCTCCAGAATAACTACAGATGGGACAAGAGGAAATGGCCTCGAGTTGCACCAGGGGAGGTTCAGGTTAGACATTAGGAAAAAGTCTACACAGAGAGAGCAGCCAAGCACTGGGACAGGCTGCCCAGGGAGTCCCCGTCCCTGACAACGCCCAAGAAACGCACAGACGAGGTGCTTAGGGRCATGGTTCGACAAGCAGGGTGTTGCAGAGCTTATGGTTGCACTCCGTGATCCTGAGGGTCTTTCCCAACCTAAGGATTCCACACCCGCCGCACAGACACTGCTCCCCCACCCCCCTCAGCCCAACGGCCGCTGCGCAGGGCGGGAAAGGCGGCGAGGGCGGGGCCGGCGCGGGGGCTCCTGGGTAGGGGAAGCGCCGCTCGCCGCCCCGGTGCGGGGTGGGGGGGGGGCGGTTTTGCCGGTGCCGCCGCCGCGACGCTCGGCGCCCCCGGCCCGTGTGCGCGGGAGGCGGGGGGCGATGGCGGCGTCTCCCTCCGCCGTGGCGGGGCCGCCGCGCCGCTGAGCGCCCCCCGGGCGCCGGGAGGAGGAGGAGGAGGAAGGAGGAGGGGCCGGGCAAACATGGCCGCCCCCGCCAAGTGGGAGCGGCTGAGGCCGCTGCAGCCGGACACGCTGCGCGTGAGTGAGCGGCGCGCGGGGCCGCGGAGGGAGGCGCCGGGCGCGGGGCCGGGCGGGCGCGGGGCCGCTTGCCAGGGCGGCGGTGGCGCCGTCCGGGGGTGYTGGGGGAACCCGCCGCGGGCGGCGGCTCCGCTTTGCTTCCCTCAGCGTCCGTGCAGACCGAGTTATCCAGCGCTGTGCGTTCCCCGCGCTGCTTTCGGTGAGGTTATGAAGCACCTGATTAAAAATTGACTTCCTTTTAATTCTGTGCGTGGTTTTATTAACTTCAGCTGCTGGGCTAACGTGGCTTCATAGCACTGCGTTCGTGCCGTGGAAAGATTTCTATGATTTTCCTTTCCTTCAGTAGTTCTAAGTTTCTTACCGCTAGAGAGGATGGATTTGAGGGAGAAGGGGGACAGTGAGTGACCTGCAGGGCCAGCCCAGGTGCTGCCATCCAAGGTTGTCTCCTCGAGTACCAGGAAACTGGGAACGAGGCGTCTGCGGCCGCCGGGGCCAGCGGTGCCCAAGGTGCCGAGGCAGCCAGGGGGGTAACAGCAGAGCGTGGGTGCTGGGCAGCAGGAACACAAACCTCACAACTGGCAGAGGTTACTTTTTGGGGTGTTTTTTGACACTTTGTAGAACAGAGGAGTCCAAGAGCTGGGGCATCTGGTGAGGGTGACTTCACTCCAGCATAGGGATGTGGCATTCAGGGATGTTCCCTTGGGATACGCAGCTAAACAGGCAGATGTATAGAGGCACTGTGGGCAGGGGAAGGTGGGATCTGTGGGAGGTGGAGGTACAAGACAAGCTGCAAAGGAGGAATAGAAACATTGTCTGGACGTGTAGGTCTGGTGTGAGTAAAGCTGCAGCTTATTTTGTGCTAAAACTGGCAAGGAATGTCAAGGGTGGCAAAGTAACTAACTTCTTGTGGTTTAACTTGTAATGTGCCTCTGCTGTTGAATGTGGCAAGTGAGTTAGGGGCAGGAGATCCAAGGAGGCTGAAGCACTTGGACTTTTTGTGTTAGCCTTGAGAAGGAAGGTGCTCTGGGCTATTGCATTTAAGGATGGGGCTCAAGGAAGAGCAGAGCTACTGGTAGGGTGAACTATCAGTTTATTGAGAAATCTCAATCTATACAAACGGAATGGAACCCAACAGGTTCCTCTAGAGGAGTCTGGGAGAACTGGCTGATGTAATTGTGAGATTGTTCTCTATCATTTTCAGGAGGTTGTGGAGATCAGGTCCAGCTTGGTGGTTAGCCACAGTTCAGCCTTTCGAAAACCATGGAACAAGTTCTCTTGGAAGGCATTTCTGGGAGAAGRAGACAGAAAGGAGAAGGAGCCAGGGAACAGCCAGCATGACTTCTTACTTGGCCAAATGGATTGTCATCTTTGAAAGAACTAAGTCTGTAGGCAGAAAATATTGGATATCATCTACTTGAGCAAGACTCTGGAAATAGTGCCCTGTGGCATCCTTGTCTTCAAGATGTGATATTACAGATAGGCAGCTACTAGATCCATGAAAAACTGTCTGGATCATCAGGCTCATAAATAGTGGTTAATGGTTTGTGTTTCACCTGGGAGCAGGTTACAAGTGGAGTTTCTCAAGGATCCAGCATCTCTCTTATTTAATATCTTTATTGATGATCTGGAGGAGGACCTGGGTTCRGTTTTAGGGACTCAGAATGGAAAGGATGTCAACAAACTTGAGTGCTGCCAGCAGACATCCACCAGAAGTGGTGTGGGGATTAGAGCAYGTAAACTCTGAGGGAAATGGGCTTGTTAAGCCATAGAAGTGCCCCAGTACTTAATAGGAGGCTCTTGCTGGAACCAGACATTTAACAGCAGGACAAGGAAAGTAGAAAACAGGTATGAATTGAAATAAGAGAGATGAGAGAGATTCCAGCTTGGTATAAGGAGAAATTTTTCCCTGTGAGAACAGATAAGCAGTGAAAGAAGGTGCACAGAGAGATGCAGCCTCTTACTGAAGCTTAGAAGCTTTCAATATCCACTTGAGTAAGGCTGGTCTGATGAAGATCTTTACGTATAGATATTATAGTTCACTTTTGAACAGAGGGCTAGAATAGAGACCCCCTGAGGACTCTTGCAACTGGAATGAATGGGTCTGTGAATTTGAAACTCTTCCTTTTGCCTGAGTTAGGAAGGGGRAAAGGAAGGGCATAGTTGGGATGGTCATGAGAGTTTCCACACTCTGCTAGTCTGAAAGTCTAGTACAAAATAACTGTGTAATCTGAGTGCCTTTGGTATATGAACTGTTACAGGGAATGTTTGAAACTGGTGTTTACAGAATTTATACGGATACTGCTTTTTGTTGGGACAATTGCCAAAGCACTAGGGAGTTTTGGTGGCATTTCCTGTTTTCCAAGGCAGAGGAAGATGTGTTGAGATTAAAGCTTGAAAATCTTGACAGAAGCTGATAAGTGAGTATTTCTCCTTTCCAGTAGGGTTCCTTCACAGCAGTACTGGCTGAGTTATCAGTGATGTGGTCCCTCTAGCATCTATAGCTGAGGTGGGGGGTTTCATCTGCAGAAGTTTCATGTAGATGAAATCCTGTAACGTTAGTTGTCCTTTTAATTCTGCAGCCACCAATGATCAACCTGAATGTGGAAGATGAGCTACAGTTTGGAAGAAGTAAGTTCTTCATTCTATATGTAAAGATTATCCTTAAAGTATTTTTTTTTACAATGTCAAGTATGTGCTATAAAGCTATGTATCTAATAAAGACAGAAGAATGCTGCATACTCCATGAAACGACAAAGATCATGCAACACATTCTTAGTTTTTCTGTTTTCATTGCATCTGCTGCAATTGAACCTCAAACCTTYTACAATGAAAGTGAGCTTAAGGGAAAAATGAGTTAGAGAAGTGGAGCATCATGCTGGAAAAATYTGTATTTCAACTGGCATTAACAAATGTAACAAACACAAGCTTAAGTGATTTTTTTTGTCTTTTTTCTTACTCGCTGTACATTTTCTTAAAATAAGAGTCCAAACTGATTAGTGATTTCTTGAATCTGTCAGTTCATATTCAACTGTTCACACAAGCTTGCAGCTGTGAAACAGATATGATATTCCATGAGTAAAAGTGCACGTTCCTTTTGAATGAATATGATATACCATGAGTAAAAGTGCACGTTTTATTTATCCTGAGAAAAATGTTGAAGATTATGAAGAAGAATGTGCTTCGTAGGGGGATTTCCTTATGTTTGCGTGTGTATACACATACGGTCCCTTGAAGCATAACACTACACCACTTAGTGACACCATTTGGTTGSATGAGAAATACCTAGTTTGCTCTGCAGGAGAAGATGCAGCAGGGTTTGTAACAGCAGGGTTTGCCAGTCTTTCATTGACTYCTTGACCTCTGCACAAGCATGGAGACTATTTGGTGCCTTAAAAGCAAATATATGTGTGTAACGTCCTAAAACCAACCAAACTCACCAGAAACTCTTCTGCTGTTCCTGAGAATATGCTGATTGCTCTCACCAAGATGAGGATAGTCTCTAAAGCCAGGATAAGGCTTGAACTGTGAAGTTATTTGAGAGACTGCTGGTTGAGACTGCTGGGGCCAAAAGGATATGAAGAACCATTTTAACTGTCCAATAGAGCAAGTATCAGAGTTCCAGTTCCCAGGCAGGACTGTGGCAGTACCTAATATGCTAATTTAGAACTGAGCTAAGTTTTTACTAGTATTCACTTAGTAGCTTGAGTCTACATAGGCCAGTGAATGTGTGGTTATATAACTATTGATATGCTTGTTAGCATGAAATTTGAAAGCCTGAGGATGCACAATTGCATTTAAGTACATTTTGTTTTGCAGTAACTGTATCTGATCAACAGACTTTATATGGTGCTGTGTCAGTTTTGTAAATAGCGGTAGTGTTTCAAGACTTTTGTCTTCACTGACCTTGTTTTAAGAACTACTTRATGTTGTTGCAGTAATTTACACTGAATATTGTATCAAATCTTTCCAGAGACACTGAAAGTCACAAGGCCTCGATTTGATGCATCCCTGGTTTATTTGACCCGAAAATTCATGGATCTTGTCAAAACAGCTCCAGATGGTGTCCTTGATTTAAACGAGGTAGCAACAACTCTTGGCGTACGAAAACGAAGAGTATATGACATCACCAACGTGTTGGATGGAATCCACTTAATTCAGAAAAGATCTAAGAACCTTATCCAGTGGGTGTGAGTTGGCTTTGAAACTTCAAGTTTTTGAAACAATGAAAAACAGCATGCTAAGTAATGTTTATCATTTCAAACTCTGAGTGTTTTTAAGCATATTTAATTACTCATGATAAATGAAACTATCCTAAATAGTTTCGGACATGAAACTAATAGTTTGAGCCTTTAAACTGTCTGCATTGCATACTATAATAATGAATATCAAGTGGGGGGGGAAACAACTGTGGAGTGTATTTCAGCCGAGTAAAACATTCCAGAACTCCATGTCAGTTCTTATTAATACACTTTCTGTATTTAATAAACATACTCTTATTTATATAAACATAGTAGACAGCTTTCCTGCTCTTTTAGAGGTTCTGATCTTGATCAAGTTGTTGGAAGGGCACCAGAACAACAAAAACTTAGAGATGAACTTTCTGACTTGTCAGCCATGGAAGAAGCTCTGGATGAATTAATCAAGGATTGTGCTCATCAGCTGTTTGAACTTACAGATGATAAAGAAAATGCAAAATATCCTTTCAACTCTTACATCACCTTATCTAGCCTATGACTTGGGTTACTAGTACTCAAGTGTCTAGTAATAGCAGCTACCATAGGTAGGCAATAACACTTGGTTATGGGCATAGTCATGTATCAGCTCTTTTCTCATCAGCTACTACCTAATATTACAAAAGCAACTTCAGCTGAACTATTTACTGCTTTTCTTAAGTAGGTCTGTTACTTCAGTGGTACTTAATTATCATACTCGGCTTCTGCCCACTAACAAATCACTTTACAGAATCCTTGACCAAAGTATACACTAGCTTATGTGACATATCAAGATATCCATAGTATTCAGGCATTTCAAGAACAGATTGTTATTGCAATCAAAGCTCCAGAAGAAACAAAATTGGAAGTACCAGCTCCTAAAGAAGTAAGTTTTATACATTTCTCTCCCCCAAGGAACAAATGCACCAGAATCTGATCTTGCAACAGCAGTCAGTAGTTGACTTCAATTTCTTAGTCCTGTGTAGCAAATATTAGTACCTCCATTTTCCTGTGTTGCAGCTATAGGCAGTAAGTATAGCAGTCTGCACAACTTTGGTTTACCTACATTATTAAACAATAAGCATGTCTGAGCTTTAGTTATTTAGTTTTGCTGAAGATAATGGACCAGTTGTAATAGTGTTACTTATTTTCAGGATCAGAATGTGTTTGGTAATGAAAATACCAAGATACTGTTAACTTTAATATACTAAAAGGGATACACTAACCAGAAGAAGATAATAAAATAAGCATAATTTGATAATGTTTGATAAGTATTTTTCTATTGCTTAATGAATAGACATTTATTGTCATATAATACTGAAGTAGGATACACACAGTAGCCAAATCAAAAAGTTTTGACACTGTAGTAGACCATGCCAGGATGGAATTTCTGTCCTGGTGGGGTCTGTTGAAAAATAGGTAATTGATCTGTAAGATTTATTGTTTTGTTTATATGCAAGTCCTTGTCTTATAGGATAGCATAGAAGTGCATATAAAGAGCACGAAAGGACCTATTGATGTGTATTTATGTGAAGTGGAACAAGATAAGCAAGGTACCAAAACTTTTGAAGATATGGATACTGTGACGTCGGAAATTAAGCCATCGGTACCTCCAGACGAAGGTAACATCTTCTATTCACAGATTTTTTTTTTTTTTGAAGCGCATAATAATTAAAAGCAAGTGTTATTCAATTCTAATAAAGCAGAAAACTGTACAAGTGTAATTTTCCAGGCATGATTTGAGTGATTTTAGCTGTGTGGGAGCAGAGGAAGTGCCTGAAAGGGAAGGTTATGGTGTTGCGTTACCACCGGCGAGCAGAGCCCGGCGGTGCAGCTAGAGATCAGCTGGTGCAAGGGCTGAGATTGGGCCTCGGGTAACAGGGTGAGCCGCTTCCACCCCAAAAGCGGGGCAGGCCTGCGGGGAGACGGTGTTTTAAGCTCCTGAAACACAGTTGGCTCTCATTCTGCCTCTCAGAGCCCCGGTGTTGCAGGATGTTGCTTTTTAAAAATAAGCATGGCAGGAATTACAGTAGCTCAGAACACAAAAGATTATTCATTTTTTATATTATATTCAGAAATGCACCTTACTAGTTGATAGGAGATGACCTTTTAATTATTTTTATTAACTCCTACTTTGCTCATGAAACAACTTTTCGCCGTTGTTGAGGCTTTTATATATATATATATATATATATATTTTTTTTTTTTTTCCTCTCCTTTCTTTACCAAAATAAATCATAGTTATAGTTCAGAATGAGAAAATGTGACCAGGAGAGAATTTAAGATTTGCAGCAGCTAGCTTGGAAATGTATATTGCCGTAGTAAGAATAGCGAATATTCTTTTCTTTAAAGATGATTTGAGGGAATGCAAAATATCAGTAATGTAGTTTGGAATGAGTGGATTTGCTTCAGCATTGTGGCATAAGCCAAGTTTATCCATTTTAGAAGAGAATTATATCATGGCTGATAACCTGTGTATGATGTGCAAAACGGAACTCTGTGGGTGATACATTTAGCAGAATGAGAAACACATTCAGACTTTGTGTGCTTTCTTTCAGTGTGCAAGTCTTAGAAGGGAATGTCCTTTATGAAATGGCTCTAGATATTTTATATTAAAAGCAGGTACAGTGCACACGAGTGCAGTGCCTTCTCAGAAACACATTTCCTGATGACAATCGTCTTTTTCCATTTCTCTTTCAGAGTGAGATCTCCAGAAGCAAGCTGCGAGATGTGAGAGATGAATTACCACTCAAACTCTAATGCAGAATGTAAATATCTGTGTTATAGAACCTTTTCAGAACTGCTTGGAACTGCAAACTTACTGACCTGAAATGCTGCAAAATATTTTAAATTTAAAACAGCAGTGGGTTGGTTGACTGCTTATCCTCCTAAATTAAAAGAAGACAGTTCCTAGAGTTGTGTTTAGGAGTTTTGTTTTCATATTTGCATGTGATCTACAGCGTTTGGGGAAAATGGCCCTTTTAGCTTATGAAATAACTTTGAATTGATGGAAAACATAGGCAAGGAATAACTTGTAAAAATGAAGATCCAAAAACTATTCCTGAACAATCCACGATCCTTGTAAGAATGTATATAATGAAGAAATGCACTTTTCAGTTCTGAAGCGCACTGCTGTTAAACAGAAATGTCAAATACAGGTGTAACAAGGACCTGGTGTATTGGAAGCCTTCAGTGTAAGGAGCAAGATGTAAATATAATGAATGTTTTGCCTTACACCGTGTAGGTGCTGCTTGCATCGTTTGCATCCAACTCTGCAGGAACTGCGGTATCAACCCTGAGGTTAAAGAAGGGGGCTCTTCTGTATATATTGATACCAGGTCTARGTAGTTGTTGGTGTAGATTTATCGAGATGATTTGCATTTCTGCCTTGTACAGCAAATAAAAATAAAATAAGCTTTTAAAAAATGGTCAGCCTAACAGTACTAAAGTTCATTTTGGGGCTTGTCTTCAAACTGTTTTAATGCACTGGATAACTACAAACAGTAAAACTGATCAGAATTTTTTTTAATTCTGATAAACATGGTGCTGACAGTAGCTTTTCGATCTGATTCTTGTGATGCCACAGTGTGCTAGCGGTTGTCAGAAAAAAAACTTGATTAAGTGCTTAAATTGGTCACTTATTGTCTAAAATACATGTATGGCATAGCTTGAAACTTTATGGCTTCTCCTTGCAAAACTGACAAATACTCAAAAACTTCACAACTACATTGAACTTCTCTGTTCATCTGTCTTCCATATCAGCACAACGAAGCTTTACAATTTTGAGCCTGGTTATGCTTAGTGAATTAACTGTTCTTGTGCAACTGATAGACTTAGCCTCATGTCCAGCTTTAGAAGGTGCATCTTCATAGTTTCCTCTGGCAGATGAAAAAAGCAGGTGAGGAGAAAAAGGAAAAACCCTCAGAACACGAGTACTGGGTTTTCCAGACAGGAGAGCGTCAGCAYCTGCCCATTTTTCTCTAGCTGTTGAGATCTAATCACAGTTGGTCACATTAAAGCCAGCACCACCTTCCCTGCCCACCGCATCTAACCAGCATCTCTGCAACTGTTTCATGTAGACACTGTGAAATGAGATGTTTTATATTCTGTTAATGAAGTGGAATGATTGCCTGAAGAGATGAAATTCGCATTCATAAAGATTCAGAGTCAATTTATCTGCTCAGTTTGTTAGTTTTTAAGCGTTAGGGGAAGACTAAGCTATGTGTTGCAAAGTAATACTGACTTTATGTTCTAAAAACTGCCAGCTCCAGATGATGGGACCTCACTGTTGGATGCTCTCCTTGTGCTTCTCTATAAAACACAAACTACGGGCTGAGCCGTGGCAATAATAAAGCAAACTGAAAGCATATTTGGTAAATTAATGGCAGTAAAAATGGGGAAGATGCTCCATGAAGAAAGCTAGAGGGATGGCTGTAAAATAGAGAAATGAAGATTTTGTATGTAACTGTCTTCTCTCTAGGAGGCAGAATTGCAGGTTTGTTTTTGCACGAGTGGTTTGACTGGAGGGAGGTCGGTGGAGGGRAACTATGTGCAAGGGAAGCAGCAGCTCCCCAGGCTGCTTCAGCTCCTTRGGTTCCTGCCACTTGCTCTGAAACGTGGAACAAATCCCAGCAGGACMCGAGGAAGCCGGAGTGGCACCTTTAGGGGAGAGATTCTGTTACACRGAGACAAGGCATTTTGACCTGGGGATTAAGTGCACCTTTACTTGATGAATGGCTTATACRTGCTAAGGAAAATAGTTTTTAAAAGCAGAACTTGATTTTAAATTATTTAATTGGAGCATTAACAATTGCTCATTTTAAACGTTTAGTGATTATCATCTTTGTGGGTTTTTTTTAACTGTAGAAACCTCTGTTGTGAAGGCTTTTTAGCTGTAGAAAGGGATTTATTTCTTAATTTCAAGCTGCGCTGTTGTCACAGTGAAAGGGAGAAGCCKTAATATGGCAGTTATACTTGAGCAATTTTCTTAAATACCCTAATGGGTTTAACAGTGCACCTTCAGTAGAACAAGTGGACTTGGGAAGCTTTAAGCCACGTACTCGTGGTTGCTGTTACTTGAATATTCGCTGCGTGACTCACCTGTAGTAATGGAAAGCCCTCAAGTACAGCAGAGGCTCCTGAAGTCAGCAGCTCCCTGCAAGACTCGTTTGGACTGTGGGAAAAGCTGTGGAGTGATGCTGAGCTTAAATACATGTTACAAGCTCGCTTAAAATGTAGATCTGATAAGATCTTACTGTATGGATTTGTATATATTGCTTGATTTCTTTATAGATTAGTTTAGGTAAGTTAAACTATTTTTGTTGAGTCCGTGGTTGTTCGTTTTCACCATATTTGTGTGTGCAAGCCCTTCCACAGGTACTTGGGGAGTGTGCTTGCAGTAAATTAAAAAGCCCWAATCACTTTTATTTTTCTTTGATAGGAATTGCTGATCATCTATTTTCTGTTAACTGGTGGCAACACCAGTCAGGATCTGTAACTGTGAAATACCCTGTTTTTGCTGACTTTGTGCTTGGAGCAAACTCCAGCACTTGCACCGTGTTTTAACAGCAGTTCCACTCTTCATTTGGAAGGGCAAGTTACTCCTCAACAATTCCAAATGTGGATAACGGTCTGTAAAAAATGATTTGTGGAAGACACAGAGTTGCTTAAAATTGTTTCCCGTAAAGTATTTTAAACAAATACCTTCCTTTTCATTCGCATACATAGAATCATAGAATCYGTAAGGGTGGCAGGGACCCCTAGAGATCACCTAGACCAACCCCCTGCTCCAGCAGGGACACCCAGAGCACGGGGCACAGGGCGGCATCCAGGCGGGTTTGGAAGATCTCCAGAGAAGGAGACTCCACAGCCTCCCTGGGCAGCCTGTTCCAGGGCTCTGTCACCCTCACAGGGAAGAAGTTCCTCCTCACCTGGAGAYGGAACTGCCTGTGTTTCAACTTGTACCCGTTTCCTCTTGTCCTTTCACTGGTCACCAATGAGAAGAGTTTGGCTCCATCTTCCCTATCATCCCTGTTTCCCAGCATCCTTCTTAACAAGGAAATCTCAGCACTTGAAAGCTTTAGGAAACTAAAAAATCTGTGCAAGAAGCTATTCAAATTGCTGGAATAATTTTGCTTTCTTTATAGAATCCTGTACAGATCTTTTTAGATAATGCAATATTCTTTTGCAGACAGGCAAGCAATTTTGGTTGTACAKCTGTCATTTGCTAAGGAATTCTGCTTTCAACTATAGCTGTGAAAATGGCACAAGCAGGTTAGAGCAGTAGTCGATGCTTCTTTCACTTGCAGCCAAAATGAATATCACGAACAMTGAAACATTAAAGTTTTTCTTGCGAACTGGAAAAGTGTCCACTATAAAATTTCAGCAAGCTGGTAAGGGAACTTTATATGTGTATATATATATGTGTGTGTGTGTGTTTATATAAATTACAAGGCATGCAAATTCCTAAGAAGTCTGACTCCTAAAACTAGGAGTATGCGCAAACTATGGCCTTAGAAGAGCTCATTTCTAAATGTGAAAATATAAGTTATCCATCACAAGAAAAGTTCAAAGTCCAGTATAAGCATTTTCAGGGTTTATGGGGATAATAAAGTTTTAAGGGGGTTATAAATCAGAGATGGGTCCAAAGCTTTAATCACCAGTTAAGATCAAAATATCTGCAAACTCAAGGAGTAAGGCAAGGTCAAGAGGCCYTGTGTTTGTTATCCAGCTCATTAGCAGTAAAGGTTGAGGCTGGATGCTGACTTCTCTGAAGATCAAGATTTCTGACTTAGCATAACCAGAATAATTGCAAGACAGCTGGGATCTGAACAGAAKAATTCTGGATCTGGCAGCATCAGCAAAAACAGGATTTGCCTTCATTACTTGCAGCAGTGACTCTTTGCGGGCAGTTAACTGCTTGCATTGCCCTCACAAGCACGCAACGAGCAGGTCCCTTGCGAAATGTAACCTACCAAACAGTGCTGATACATGGAAGAAAAGCAATAAAGTTTTAATTCGGCACCTGGAACTAAGAAAGGTACTAACGTGACTGTGGAATGACGGACATGMAGTAAAGGTCACCGATGCTGTTACTGACACGATGGATCTTTCCACAAACTGCCACGAATCCTCCCTCCAAAGGGATGCAACTATTGGGGGCAGAAACCCCCATGGAGCTGCAGAAAGATTCAACCCTAACTGTGCACTAATGTGCGCAGGGCACTCAAAACAGCAAGAAGCGAGCAGAGCTGATGCTTTTTTTATGCCCTTATTCAGCTGAAGGTAAAAAAAGTGCCTGTGAAATGACACAAAATGAACCTCCCCTGGGTGAGTATTCATGAGGGAAACGCAGARATTCATCCCAAGAACTCGCTGTCATCAGAGGATCGAAAGTAAAAGAAAAATATGTCAGAAGCATTAGTGCACCTGCTCTACAATAATTTCCAAGTGTTCCTATACCTTTAATGTCTCTTTTGAGGTCACATACACCTTAATTGCAGATTCTTTCCCCCTACTAAGTACTAAGTACTAAGTACTAAGTACTAAGTACTAAGTACTAAGTACTAAGTACTAAGTAAAGGAATAAATACAAATATCACTCCTTTAATTGTCTAATCTGACTCCTAGGTTGGCAGTTTCTCAACACGCTTATCTGTGGTTTTGATTTGTTTGCAAAGTGTCAAAGGCATCAGACACCACTGGGCAGATGAAGAGCACTAAAGGAAATTATGGATTACTGAGTATTTACTGTCTACTTTCTTTCCTCCAGTCTGAAAGGCTTCACACTATAGGGGAAATTTACGGTAGATTTAATCTCAGGAGTCAYAGTTTTTGTTCAAAAGGCATTCGATTTGTGAAATTAAAGTGATCACTTGGCAGAGCCTTCAAAGTAAATATCTTTCAAATCAAAATATCTTATATTCCTAATATAAAAAAGAAGGCTGAGAAGGAATCTGATCAATATCTATAAGTACACGAAGGGAGAATGTAGGGAGGAAGGGGCCAAGCTCTTCTCAGTGGTGGCCAGTGACAGGACAAGGGGCARTGGGTACAAGTTGAAACACAGGCAGTTCCATCTCCAGGTGAGGAGGAACTTCTTTCCTGTGAAGGTGCCAGAGCCCTGGAACAGGCTGCCCAGGGAGGCTGTGGAGTCTCCTTCTCTGGAGATCTTCCAAACCCGCCTGGATGCCGCCCTGTGCCCCGTGCTCTGGGTGTCCCTGCTGGAGCAGGAGAGTTGGACTAGATGATCTCTAGAGGTCCCTTCCAACCTCAACCAGTCTGTGATTCTGTGATATATATTTATATGAAAATTTGTGGC